TTAAACAATGTTTCCCCGAAATGAAATACACTTGAGAAAAAATGTCAAATGTGTTAAAAATAGTTATTAGGTTGGAAAAATGTTTAAATTTAAAAAAAAAAAAAAAAGAAATCAATAAAAGAATGCCGAATGCAACACTTCCCTTTCATTAGCACTTAAAAACAATATATCATACTTAATAAACCCACACTAATCGGGCTTGATTGATGTTTTTTTTTAGTATCCCGAAATTTGTTTGAAAGAAATTTCTTTGACGGAAATTTGTTTGAATTCTTTTTTTTTCAGTTCGCGCGATCTAATTTTGCGTCAAATTTCTTTTTTGGAACACATTATTTTGTTTTACTATATAGTAATAGCGTGTTCACAAAGAAATTTGACGAAAACTTGATTGTGTGAACTGAACAAAGAATTCAACCCAATTTCTGTTTGATCTAATTTCCGTCAATCAATTTTCCATCGAAGAAACTTCTTTCAAACAAAACTTTTGGTAACCTGATTATTATAATCTTATTACTTTAATTACTTTAATAAGTTCCAGATATCTCTAGTTTTTTGTTTTTGTTATACCTTGTTAACAAAAAATCCTCCAATTTTATTTCTAATGATCAATAATATAATTTATATTGAGGATCAAACTTGATTATTAGGCTTTTTTTTTTTTAATGGTGTCATTGGTTGCAGGGTTGCATGAGCAAATGAGGATGAATTTTAATAATGTTCTATTTGTAGATGGAGTTGAACCTGCCTGTGGAGGTCAAGGCTGGTCATATCGGTGAGTGAGTTAAATCAAATTTAAAAAGTGTAGAAAACTGAAAAGTTGAATTTCCATTATCATATTATAATTAGATTACGTTACCAACTGTTTTGGTTTGCGGATTTTTTTTTTCTCTTAAGTAATTTTTTTTTAAAAATATATTTTTTATTTTACAGCATTCATGTGTTGGGTGTCGTGTTTTTCTTTTGTGAGCATGTACACAGTGAGATCCAAACTCTTCACACAGAATATTTTTACTTTATCTTTTGGTTCAGTGCACTGGTTCTGAAATTTTGAGATTTACTGATTGGATAATCTCATAGTTGATAAATGCATGTCGTATTATTTCAATGATTTCAAGGTCACCTGAAGATAGACATCCCTTGGACCCAGCTGTTCACGGCAGACATTCACGTTGCAATAGAGAACGTCTACGTCCTGGCGGGACCTGTCATAGACAGGCAGTACGATCCGGAGAAGGAGCGCCAGCTCCAGAATGCCCTCAAGAGACAACTCTTGGAGTCCATCGAGCAGTCGGCCCTGGAGGGTGTGGGTGAGTCTTAACACCCTGCATCTGTCCCGCTCCCTGTTTGCAGTTTCAGTGCTTAACATTGGACAACATGGCTCTTACACCTCAGACTGCCACATACACCGCAGACTGCCACATTCACCGCAGACTGTCACATGCCACATACACCGCAGACTGCCACATACACCACAGACTGCCACATACACCGCAGACTGCCATATACACTGTAGACTACCACTTACACTGCAGACCACCACCAGAACACACTTACAGTATTTAACGGTCTTTTAACCTTATAAGGGGAAGGTAAACATAAAGGGACACAAATACTAAGATATCCAAGTTACAGTCTTACTGTCGTCACAGTTTACTATAATTTATATACATTTAGTGAGAAAAAGTCGTAAGATTAAATTGTTATCATCCTTGGGTGACATGTTGTTTTTACTGTTGCTGCTATACTGGACCACAACGAATGGTTCATTGAAATTCGTACACACAAATATAAAGGAATAGTAATGGAAAAATCGCAGCTCTTGGCAAGCATGACTCTTATGTGATTGTCTCATTGATTTTGTTTTATTTTCCTTCCTTTTAATGAACTGTTCTCTAACATTGTCAAGGGTGTGGTACATGCAGGAAGAATTAAGGCAGCTTACCTCCAGATTTTAATTAAAACAACTTATCAAATCCATGGCATTAGATTACATGCCTACGACTTGATCACGCGGTAGCAGTGATCAATGCTTGTTCTTAAGGAAGTGGAGCTTGTGTAGCCACAACATCATTTACCATTCAACTTCAAAAAAAAAAAAAAAAAAAAAAAAAAAAAAAAAAAAAATAAAAAAAAAAAAAAAAAAAAAAAAAAAAAAAAAAAAAATTCTCATTAATGAAAAATGGATTCTGGGCAAGGCGTGGCATGTGACAATTTTTCAAGAACCCAATTTGCCATTGGGCAATTAAAGAATTATGCACCGCATGCCACATGGAGAACTGATTTCTTGTCAGCAATAAGAGAGAAAGACTGATGGAAACAAATGGCCTTGCAAAGTATTGTTTTTATTAAGATAAAAAAAATTTAGTTAAGACTTTGTTTTGTTTTAAGATTCCATTTTTAGCAGCAAAATCTGTTATTTTAACATTGATTTTTGTGTGGCTAACATAGATTAATGCTGATGAGCAAAAAATAAAAGAACCACTCACTTTTAACTTTTTTTTTTTTTTTCTTTTTTAAATTCAGGTGTCTATTAATAATGCTTCAAACCTAATTATTATTTTTAAGCTTGCTAAAAAGAAATTCATTTCCCTTTTTTTTTTTTTTCCCATTCTGAAAGGGACACCTATTTCTCAAGAGATCTGTCAAGTAATTTTTGAGTTTTAGGATTCTTATAATCTTCAAGTAATTGTTGAGTTTTAGAATTATTATTAACTTCAAGCATTTGTTGAGTTTTAGACTTATTATAAACTTGTCTTTTCAGTGTAACTTTGAGAATGATTTTATCCTTTCATTTCTTGTGACACAAAAAAAACTTTTTTTTTTTTTTTAAATATCCTCTTAGTCTACGGTTACGCCTCACCCATCATTATTTCAAATAAAATTTTGCTCTAATTCAAAACTATCTAATATTTTGCTCTGCTTTGAGTTCTTTGAAAGTTTTTTTCATGAATCCTCTTTCATTCAGCTGCTTGTTCTAGTGAGAACTACATTTTTTTTTTATGCATGACTTGTCTCCTTTGTAAGTCTGAAACAAAGAGATTTTTAAAAAAAATATGTTATTTTCTATTTCAGTCAAGAATGCCAGTGAAAATCCCAGCTTTGTTGAGAAATTTTCAACCAGTCTCCTTAACAGGTTGCAGGTGTGTACAGTACTGTGAACTCACAATGTCTTTAGCCACAGGACATGCATACACAATTTGTATTTTTGCTATGTGCGCATTCACCTGCTCAGCACTGGTAACATCATCTTTAAGGTGGTCTTTTGTTTTGGTGGGTGGGGTGGTGGGGGATACAAGGATGGAAAAAAAAAATAAACCTCTGTGTCAAAGCCACCATCGATCTTAAAACAATTCCAAAAACCTGGCCACGCCAACATATGCGTAGTTGAACATAATGCTGAATCCATGAACTGTTTATTAGCTCTTCCACACCCTCTAGCCAAATTGGATTGAAATGTCGAACACAATGCTCAGATCTATCTCGGCTGACACCACTGTTGAACAAAAATGTTAAACCTGAATGATCCGTATATTTCAGCATTTTCAGCATTTTGTAAATATTATATATTTTTATGAGTTTCTGAAGTAGTAAAATTTAAATAATGAGTTTTTAAAAAGTTCATTAAAATTGAATGTGAATATGTCAATGTTTGATATTGACATCTTCCTGTGTTATATTTTCTGTAGATCTCGGTGAGGCACATCCACATAAGATATGAAGATACAATCACTAACGGGGATCATGCGTTCGCCTGTGGCGTTATGCTCAAGCAGCTGCTCATCTGCTCCACGGATGCCCACTGGCAGCCTCGGGGTGCTGACGTCATACCAAACATGATGCACAAGGTAATGTATGACATGTGGCCGAATAGGCTGATGACCGATTATCTGACCATTATTTGCTGCAACCCAGTCACAAGTAAGAATACCCTTGATCATTGTAATTGTAAATAAATGAAAACCCCCTTGATTTGATTGGTTTACATTGTTTTACTGTGACCAGATGCTGAAGATGGACGAGCTGTCACTTTACTGGAACCCTTATGTTCCAGAGCAGCACTTGCTAAAGTCTCGGCTTAACACTGATGGATGGAGGGTGAGTTAGTGACGGAATTTATTTATGCAACAGGCCGTAGATATCAAATAACTACCTCGCTGGGTCAACTAGTTCTCTTGAAAACAAATGATGCAATTTTTTAACAACACCAAGATATTAAAGAAAAAATCATCTTACATTTCATAATTTCAAACAACTCAATAAAAAAAATATTCCGAAGTTAAATCACAAAAAATATTATACTTGCTGCATTGGTGGATCATTATCGAGATACACGAATAAAAAATAATGCAACAATGAATGATGTAACGGAATGATTCCAATAGCAGATTATTCTTGTTCAAGTACTTTATAGGACTCAAAATATATTTGAAGACAAAGCGTGTAAAGAGTTAATTTTCCAGCAATGTAAATGGAACCATTTATGACTGACTGATAATATATTTACATTTTTTTTAATATCCAAAATTGTTTTTTTTATGTTCATGCTGTTTAAAGGATTGGAATTTGTTTTACATTGTTTTTACAGAATGTTTTAAGGATTTCTATTGATTCCCACACAATATTTGAAGAAGAGCTGGATTTCAGTGAGTACAACCTTTACCAAATACATTTCTTATCAGAAAGTCAGATTAAGATTGTTTTCAGGTTAGCTTAATGTTTTGTTACCCCACGGCCCGACATAGATTAAACCAGGGCTTTCGTTATATTTTCTTGTTTCTAAAATGCTCGCCCTCGCCGTCGTGGATGGCGCGGTGGCCGTGACGGTTATAACCATCGATGGTTTCGTTTCAGTCATGGAGCCCGTGGCGGCCCAGGCCAGGCTCATCATCAACACAGACACCAACTTCACTCTGCCCAAACTCTTCATGGACTTCACGGTGGAGGAGGTGGAGGTTCTACTCTCCAGACAGCAGGTAGACCCCCCCCACCACCCCCCATATAGACCTTACTTAGACCTCATGCCAAACTCATTTTGACTTTATGTGCATGATTTTTAGACATTATAATATTGGCCAACATACAGACATTGTGCAGGTTTTTATGTAGAAACTTTGTAGGTCTTGTGTTGATGTAGTAAATATTGTACGTACATTGTGTAGACGTGATGCGGAACTTATGTATAACTTGCCATTCACATTGTGTAGACACTATATATCAATACACAGCCTGGGTTAAAACAAGAATTGGAAAGCTGTGTCAAGCCATTTCATTTAGCTTGTAAACATCCAAGTAATTCCTTGGAGAATGATATTGATAGCACATTTGTCTGTAGCCTATGCAAATTTATAGAAGACCTGATGATACTAATCATACTGTAGCAGAATTCTCACCCTGAATTTGTTAAATTAATCTCTTTAAATTTTTATCTCTGATACTTTTCAGTTCTTAAATCTCATCAATCTGAAAGATTCGTTTCAACTGATGAGAATCAACCAGCGCTACCGCAGGTACCACCCGAACATCAGTCTCAAGGTCAGCCCGAGGTCGTGGTGGGTCTATGCATACACGGCCATCCTAGAAGAGGTCATTCGTCCATTCTCTTGGTCCAGAATAAAGGAACATAGGTATATGAACTATTACAGACATGACAAAACAAGTATTTGAACTATTGCAGACTTCGAGATAACAGGTATATGAACTAATACATTCTTGAGAAAACAGTTATATGAACTATCATAGACTTGACAAAACTGGTATATGAGCTGTCACAGACTTGACAAAACAGGTGTATGAACTGATAAAAACTTGAGAAATCAGGTATATGAACTGTCACAGACTTGACAAAACAGGTCTATGAACTAATACAAACTTGAGAAATCAGGTATATGAACTGTCACAGACTTGACAAAACAGGACTATGAACTAATACAAACTTGAGAAATCAGGTATATGAACTGTCACAGACTTGACAAAAAAGGTCTATGAACTAATACAAACTTGAGAAATCAGGTATATGAACTGTCACAGACTTGACAAAACAGGTCTATGAACTAATACAAACTTGAGAAATCAGGTATATGAACTGTCACAGACTTGACAAAACAGGTCTATGAACTAATACAAACTTGGGAAATCAGGTATATGAACTGTCACAGACTTGACAAAACAGGTCTATGAACTAATACAAACTTGAGAAATCAGGTATATGAACTGTCACAGACTTGAGAAGTTCACAGGTCAATGGATAGGCTTATTACCCTTGCACCATTTGATGAACTTCAGAATTCCTGTTATTAAATGAAAATGTCAAGCTCTTGCTGTGTGTCCCAACCAATGTAATGCAAGTCAAATCCTCATCAAAGTTGGCTAGGAACAAAGTCGTGCAGGAGGCCTTGCATTCTGTTGATATTTTGGTAATGAATGCAAGACCATATGTTTGACCACTTATTTGAACTGAGAAACTGAAAAAACCATGCAATTGACAAATGCCGTTGAGATTAATTTAGTGGTTAACAATGCACTATTGTTTACAGTTTCCATTTCTGAACCATCATAATGTTGATAACAAGCAGGCTTACTATAAAATAGTTTATTTTGTTCAATATGTTATATGGATTGACATGAAAATTTGCGTTCTACATTCAGAGCTGATTTTTTTTGATTTTTTATAAATGTGACATAATATTCATTCTGGGGCAGGTCTAAATTCAAGAAATACAAGAATTTATACAAGAAATATTTGGAGGAACCTGAGAACAAATCAACCAAGGAAAAACTGAGACCGATGGAGGACAAGCTGGACGTGTCAAACATTATCATTGCCAGGAACCAAGCCAAGCTGGAGGTAATTAAGGACATGTCAGATCAGAGTTGCAAATACTTTGTGAGAGTTGTTCAAAAAATGTTCAAATGCTTTCCCAGAACAGTTGCAAGTTTTTTTTTTAATATTATTTTACTGGGGGAATATTCAAATGTCAACGTGCCATCGGCTGTTTCCATTTTGACGATGTCCATCTCTACTTCATCCACTGCTAGTTTGCCATTGAAGCCCCTGACCGTGCCAAGAAGACGGTGAAGAAGAGAGAAGGCTGGTTCAGTAGCTGGCTGTGGGGGTCAGGGGAGGAAGATGTCGTCATAGAAATGGACCCAGCCACCAGAAGTAAGTTTGATTTTTGTGTATGGGCAGATTTCATTAGACAGTTTTATGGGATTTAACGCAAATTAATCAAGTTTTTTTTTTTAAATTTTTTTTTAAAAAGTTTTTAATGCCAGTACCATTGCATTATGATTTACCCCAAATTTTTATTTATATTCAAAGAAATGAAGTTGTTACAGTTCACTTTGCACTGTTGTAGACATTCTCTTGAATATTATTGTCATTGCTTGATGGTTGCACAGGGCACCTCATCTCATCTTTCAAAAATATAAATTGACTTTGAAACCGTTTTCACAGAGGACTGGCTTTCCAATCTTACAACAGAGGAGAGGAACAAACTGTTTGGAGGGATCGGCTATGATGAAAACTCCAATACATTAACATACCCTAAAAAGGTGAGTTAAACAAAAAAAACACCAGAATACTTTAACATTTTAACACTCTTATCAAGATTGAAAAAAAGATGTATGAAGTATTCTGGTGTTTAAGAGTTAAAGTTAAGTCTCTGTATAGTTACAAGAATATTAATTATTGTTTTGAATAAAAAAAAGTCCAGGAAAATAGCAGCACAGCACCTGGTGTTTGGTTATGAGAAATAGCTCATCTGGCAATTAACATGATAAAAAGCTCATAAGGTAATTAACATGAAAAATAGCTCGTAAGGCATGATATCAAGCAGTCAACATGATGTATAACTCATAAGGCAATCAACAACTCTAGAATATGCATTCTTTTTTTTAATCAAACGTAACACAATAATGTAGATTGCAGAATGGTACAGGCTAAATTTTTCAACATGCCAGGACTTATTTTACAAAGAGGTAGACACAAAAAAAAAAGACTTTTATTTTGGTCATTTTCTCATGTTCCATTCAGTATGTTGCTGCGAAGGTTCAGGTGATACTGAAAAGGTGCTGTGTCTCCATGGTCAACTACAGCAAGAAAATCCTGCAGGTGTCTGTCACGCACCTGCTTTCAACTTTTGAGTACAGGCCAGGCAATGAGGCCTTCAGGTGTGATTATTTGTTCTTAACTTTCTTTCTTTTCTTTTTTCCTATTTTTTTATAAATAAGAGCCCCACATTTCATAAAGTGAACTATAATGAGAGCATTGAGAAATATATGCAAAGATCTAAGAATGGCTTTTGCCATCACGTTCTGTTTGATTATATAGCTGAGTGAAAATAAGTGAATGTGATCAAATTATAGTTGTTTTTTTTAAATACATAAATTTTTTTGAACAAGAAAACTACTAAAACTCTTGTTTAAAAAAATTGCTCCAAGATTTCAGTGTTTGATAAAATTGATATTTGCTAATTGAGTTACTCTCTTCAGTTGAATTATTAATAAACACATATCAAAAGTAGGCTCTGCTGAATAAGCATTAAAAAAAATATTGATTTGTAGATATAATCATTCACATTTATGGAAACCATATGTCCACATTGGTTTTAATCAAACTGTTTGGGGTCAGAAAAGAATTCATTGAAGGGTCAGCCCAGCATCATCGGTTTTCTGCTTAGGGTACAACAGAGACTTAAGATTTTTTTAGGCTCTCTGTTTCATTTCATTAGGATATCCAGTAACACTGAGAGCTTTGCTGTTGAAGGGGCTTCAATAGAGCACGAGCTTATCCCAATTCTTACGTCTGATATTGGAGTTTATGGTAAGTCTAATGGGCTTCAATAAAATATGAGATTATCCCAATTCTTACCTCTGATATTGAAGTTTATGGTAAGTCTAAGGGGCTTCAATAGAACATGAGCTTATCCCAATTCTTACCTCTGATATTGGAGTTTATGGTAAGTATAAGGGGCTTCAATAGAACATGAGCTTATCCCAATTCTTACCTCTGATATTGGAGTTTATGGTAAGTCTAAGGGGCTTCAATAGAACTTGAGCTTATCCCAATTCTTACCTCTGATATTGAAGTTTATGGTAAGTCTAAGGGGCTTCAATAGAACATGAGCTTATCCCAATTCTTACCTCTGATATTGGAGTTTATGGTAAGTCTAAGGGGCTTCAATAGAACATGAGCTTATCCCAATTCTTACCTCTGATATTGGAGTTTATGGTAAGTCTAAGGGGCTTCAATAGAACTTGAGCTTATCCCAACTCTTACCTCTGATATTGGAGTTTATGGTAAGATGTTTTGATTTCTTGATTTCAATTTTAAAAATCCCAGTTAAATTGAAGGTAAGTTGATTCGCTCAGCACCAAAGCTAGAATAGTGGTGAACAGGTCCTAGAGAAGGAGGCAGAATTGACAAGACAATCAGTTGTTGATCTGTCCATCAAACAGGCTAAAAATGTAGCAACACAGGTTTAATCATGACACAATGAACAAGCAAAAAATATTTGTGTCGCACAGTAAAGTAGACGCTCTATCATCTTGGACTAACCGTGACCAGGTGTAGTGTGTGGGTTTTCATAAATCACAAAAGATCGTTGATGACATACTACATGGGATAAATGAATAGCATCTAAATAAGTACCATAGATGTATTATGTGTTTACAAGATTTCATCCTCAAAATCATAGTTTTTTGTCTTTGTATTTTTTTTGTTGGTCTCATGTATGTCTTTGATTGGCTGGGTCACAAGATGGCTGGGTCACAAGATGGCTGGGTTACAAGATAGCTGGGTCACAAGATGGCTGGGTCACAAGATGTCTGGGTCATGAGTTATGAGTGTAGGCAATCAAATATTTGATCAGTTAATATCTAAATATTAGAGTACACTACACTGCGGTGAAGCTTCTGTTATGGTCGCTTTTTAACTAGAGAAGTCAAAGCAAATCCATCCAGAAAGGAATAAGCTTACACAGGGTAGCCAGAACAAGACAGCCATCATGTCATTGGGCTGCAAAGTCTGCACAGGGTAGCCAGAACAAGACAGCCATCATGTCATTGGGCTGCAAAGTCTGCACAGGGTAGCCAGAACAAGACAGCCATCATGTCATGGGCTGCAAAGTCTGCACAGGGTAGCCAGAACAAGACAGCCATCATGTCATGGGCTGCAAAGTCTGCACAGGGTAGCCAGAACAGATAAGCCATCATGTCATGGGCTGCAAAGTCTACACAGGGTAGCCAGAACAGATAAGCCATCTTGTGATAGGCTGCAAACAGTAGCCAGATTTTGAAAGTAGCAAATTTCTCATATGTTTGAGTTGTTGTTGATATTTAACTAAATAATTCTTTTAAATATTCCTTAAATATTATTTAGAGTCCAATGACAGCTGTCACCAAAACTGCAGCCCAAACGTGTGATAATATCCATCTATATAATTTAGTTGTAGCAATTATAGAGTCTCATCAATTTGAGCATACTTTGTCACTAACTACAACAATACTGTACACTCATGGCAACAACATACCAATGTCAATAAAACCCATAGCAATGATACAGTCTCACCAATATACCACGCACCTAACTAACTACAACAATACTACACACTCATGTCAACAACATACCATGTCAATAAAATCCATAGCAATGATACCAATATGCCACACACCTCACAAACTATAACAAAAATGCTGACAGACACATCACTGCAACATACTATGTCAATATAAACAATAATACAGAGCTTCATCTGCCCTCAGCACCTTCTGTCAACCAGGTTTTCACACTGGACTTTGAGTCCAAGCCATTGTACATGGATGCTGATTACTCACTGTCCTTGAATGTCCAGCCCGTGGAGATCGTCTACGATGAGGTAATACCGTCCAATCTCTGTCACTCAATGTTCAGCGTGTATAGTTGATCTTAGCCCAGTCATCTCCCTTGATCAAATAACATTAATAATTTTAATGTTTTTGAATAAATGTTTGTGGGATATTATTTACGCAACTCCTTAATTTCTTTTGTAAGGGGTTGCTTTTTTAAAATTCAAATCTCTCTGTCTCTAAATCTACAGTACACTATTTATGAATCTACGTAATTCTACTCTAAATCTAGATTAATAAGACACGAACAAATTGTGTCAATAGAACAATATGAGTTAGCTTTAATAATAATTATACATCATACATAATTAAACGTTTCGGCACATGGCTTCATCAGTACAAACAAACAAAACACCTTTAAGTAAGTATAAATTAAATTTACATAATGTCAATATACATATCCTACCTAAAACAGAAAAAATATAGGAGAGGGCGCTAAAACCAGACAAAAACAAAGTAAAGAGAAGTAGAAAGGAAGTGATTTTAACATAATTGGAAATCTAAATCTCCATAACTCTATGTCTGAAGCTACATAATTCTATTCTCTAAATCTACAGCACTCCATTTCTGAAGTTACAGCATTCTTCCAGCTGCCCCACGGAGGGCTGGACATCAAGTCCGCTGCTGTGCAGCAGCTGACCAATGTTGCCAACGTCAGCAAAGCTGGGCTGCAGCATATCATTGAGACGCACACAGTGAGTCATTAGTAAGAAAATAAAGACTGGCGATGTTACAATACTCATCCATGAACTTATTATGACTACATAAGTGTAAAATATTGCTTTTTACTCATTTTAAAAACAGGTGTCCTAAAACTAGGACAGAATGACAGTAATCTTAACATCATGTCTTCAATTAACTGTATCGTTTCAGTTACAATAGTCAGGCTGTTTATCTTTGATAAGATATATGTGCAGGCCTACATCTGGCTCGTTTATTTTTGCACAAATGAAAAAAAAAAAAAAAATGGATTCATTTAGTTTTACTATATTTAACTTTTTGGTGTATGTATTACCTGACAGACTGTTCACATAGCTCTCAACATTTATCTTTGATAAGATATATGTGCAGGCATACATCTGGCTCGTTTATTTTTGCAAAAATGAAAAAAAAAAAAAAAATGGATTCATTTAGTTTTACTATATTTAACTTTTTGGTGTATGTATTACCTGACAGACTGTTCACATAGCTCTCAACATGCGGTCACCTTACATTGTTGTCCCAGAATATGGAACACTGCACAGGTGAGGATAAATTTACCACTTTGAAAGTAGCCGTTTTTTTTTTCTCTTAAACTTATCATTCCGTTGTTTCATAAAGGCAGGATATCTTTGACAGTGAAGCGGCTGGCAAATGAAGCACTACTTTCCTTCACAATGAAGTGGTCCAGTGCTGCACACAACATAAAAAACCGTAGCACATTTCAGTTAACTTTTCACCCACGATGGCGGCCCTTGACCTTCAACACTTTTTTTACCTTTGTTCACAGAGGCGGCAACGTCCTCATCATTGACCTGGGAACCCTGAGGATTGAGAGCGAGCTCCAGCCAAAAGATGTGTCCTTAGAGGCAAGTTCTCTGGTCTTATTTTGGAAATCGATTGCCTCACATTCATTTTATAACGCGCGTGACACCATTGCGCATATTTCCATAGTGTTTGTGTGATGGAACGTTGAGATTCAAATGTTTAAAACATGATATTTCCTAAAAATATCTTAATAAATTGATCTAAATCTTTAACTGAGTGCGAAAAACCAGATATTTTTTTTAAAAAGGAAAAAAAAATCTTTCCACTCACTATAGCAGCGGTTCTCAACCTGGGGGTCGCGACCCCTTTAGGGGGTCGTGCTACCTTTTCCCAGGGGTCACCTATGACGATCGGAAAACACATATACCCTACAGTTATGAAGCAGCAAATAAAATAATTTTTGTGCATAGGGGGTCGCCACAACGTGAGGAACTGTATTAAAGGGTCACGGCATTAAGAAGGTTGAGAAACACTGCACTATAGCTAATAACTCATGCCGAACAAAAAGGGATATGAACAAAATATTAAATCTAAATCTCCTCCCCCCCCTTATCCAACTCTGGAAACTTGCTGATGTTATGGAAGATTAGAAGTCTTGTGGAAAATTTTTTTTATTTTAGTCAAAGGCTATTGGAATTTACTATTCTAAGTCTGGAGAGCTGAGGCAAGTTTGTCCAAAAAAAATATAGTTTTTCTTTCCTGAAGTTTGAAGATACACCCCCCCCCACCAAATAAATGCACGGCACGACACAATATGCTGCTATACATGATAAAAATTTGCCGAATCCAAATAGTTCTAAATGAACACAGAACCCCCAGGTGTATTTCTAAAGAACTTGTGAAGCTATTTATAATCTGTCAATCTCCTCCTCACGTTTTTTTCTTTGTGTTTCCAGGATGCCACCATGTCAGAAATAGAGTCCAGACTTTACGACCAGTTTAACATGAAGATCAGCGACGTCAAAGTCCTGCTGGCCGATTCTGGTGAGAGAATAAATGATAAATTTGACTGACCATGATTGACAAGTCATCAGAATAATTCATAAAAGCACTAACACTCCCACCAGCCCACCTCCCCCCCCCCCACTTCATTTTAAACATCCCTACAAAAAAATTTAATAGTCTCAAAAAGTTAACATTATCATGGACTAAATTTGCAGAATTGAACCAAATCAAATTAATGCATTGCGTTATTCTCCTTACTGATTNCACGGGGACCCCGTGTAGTTTAACCACAAGGACCCGGTGCAGTTTAACCACAGAGACCCCATGAAGTTAACCACAAGTCCCCGTGCAAGTTAACCACAAGGAACTCGTGCAGCTTAACCACAGGAACACCATGCAGTTTAACCAAAAGCACCCCGTGCAGTTTAGCCACACGGACCTCGTGCAGTTTAACCACAGGGACCTCGAGCAACATAACCACTTGAACACCGTGCAACTTAACCAAGCTAACGAATTCTCCGAGACATAGCAAGCAACATGAACTGTTTGGTCTGATAAATTCCCTACGAGTTCTGCTAACTTTGCCCGAAATGACACTTTTGCTAATTTTGTCCGACTTACGACTTCTGCTGACTTTGTCCGACATATGACTTCTGCTGACTTTGTCCTCCCATTCCTCCTCCCACTCCACCCGTTCCTCCTCCCATTCCTTCTCCCATTCCTCCTCCCATTCCTCCTCCCACTCCTCCTCATTGCTTTGAATGTCAAACGGAGCAAGCCAATAAAGAAAAACTTGTTTGTACAATGCAAACACTGATTTAAATAAAAACAGCCCGGCAGACGTGAAACACTAAATTAAATTTAAAAATGTTATTATTGTTATGATGGTTGCACTTTTGTTGTGGAAAATGACTTTTAAATATTAACATCATATTAATTTTTTAGAACAAAAATATATACCATCCTACTAGTTCTTGATTCTGAAGAAAAATGTGTACTATTCTACTTGTCTTGATTTTAAACAAAAATATATACCATTCTACTTGTTCTTGATTTTGAACAAAAATATATACCATCCTACTTGTTCTTGATTCGGAAGAAAAATGTGTACCATCCTACACATTCTTGAGTTTGAACAAAATTAAAGACATGCAGATTAATGACCATTGTCCAATCAGGCACAAGCTGGAGACCAAGGTGCCATCTCTAGAGGTGAACATATCAGACAAGAGGATGTTGTTGCTGGCCACTTTTCTGAAGAACTTTCCGATACCCACCAGCTCCAGCATGGCCACCATCGGGGAGGACATGGTTGACAGCCACGGGCCGATGACACTTGCTCCCCTCCATTTGGTAGGTGTTTGTACGAAATCATTTTATTTTCTAGTTTAAGTCTACAGAAACTTTACAATCTTTAACTTGTAAGTGATAAATTTTTTTTAAAAAACAGTGCTTAAGATTCAGATGTCTTGCTTTCTGTCTAAATTGATAACAATAATTTTGAATTTCAGGAATGAATTTTTAAAAAAATTAATATTATATTGAAATAATGTTTCTGTAAATGTTTTTTTACTGACAAAAATTGTGTGGATTTGAAAAGTTGCGAGTATTGGAGATAAACAATGACAAAAATTTATTATATGAAGTAGAGAATTTCCACTTTAATCTTAGTGATAAGCAAAAGAACTGAATTTTAACACACACAAAATTAAATCACTTTTACATTTCTGCATATACTAAAGCATTTGAAGAGATTCATATTTCGTCTAAAATAAATTTCTTCATAAAAATTATTCTAAAATTTTCGTCTGCCTGTTTTAATTTTTTTTAGAAGAACAGTTATTCAGTTTATGAAGAATCAGCTTTATACTTGGTGAGAACCCCTCTTCTAGCAGCACCAGCTTTTCCCCTCCTTTCTGGGGGACCATTCCGGAAATATTTTATTTGATGTGGCCAAAAATGATATGTTTTATGGCAGTGATAACGAACATATGACCTGCGTATGCGAGGTGACAAAGCCACAACATTTTTTTGTGTGACACACCTCCATGCGCCAGCTTTAGAAGGCAGCTCTTCTTCCTATGAGAACTTGGCTTTTGAATTAAAGACATGTAACCAAAATATTCAAAAAAAATTTTAATGCAGTATTATCACAGTAACACGCTAATTTCTCTTGCATAATGGCTATTAATAGGTAAAGAATTATTCTCTTTGTACTGGGGTCTGGGGGTGGTCGGGTGGGCTGGGAGACATACCACCAAAGCCATTTTAAACATCTTCCATATTTTGTTATATTTTAAATGTAGCCAGAGCGTTCGCAATCACTGCCATATGGAACTTAAGGGAGCAGCCCTGACTTTGATGCCCTCAAGCTTTTCCTTTGCTCTCATCCTACCACACGCGCAAAAAAAAAATCATTAAAAACTCACTAACTTTTATTCCCTTGATCTAGGCACCAGGTTAGAGAATCAATGGCAAATGTGCCGCTATAATTTACACTGCAGTGTGCTTGTCTTGATTTTTTTTTTTTTTTAATGTTATTTATAACAAAACATCTTCATGTCATTTGTAGCAAACACACTTTTTTTCCTCTTTCCTATAATTGTTTTATAGAAATTAAACTGTGTATCAGACTTTCTCTTGCACTGGTTAAAACAAGCTATTTCCTGGTAAATGTTTCCACCCATTTTTCTAATGATTTTATATTCTACCTCTGTTTGATTGATGAAACTGATCATCTTGAGATCATCAGAGCAATGAAGCTAAGAAAAATTATGAAATATATGTAAAGTTATGAAAATGAGAAAAGTATGAGATATTTGTATGAGATAAAAAGAAGATCAAAACAAGTCATGTTTTTCAAATGGCGGTGTTGTTCTTTTAACACTTTTTTTTTTCTTGTTCACGTTTGCAGAAAAGTTTACTTGAAAAGTTTCGGTTTTTTACTATTCTTAGATAAATTTGATTGAAATGAATATCCCGTAACTCAGACATTATATTGCCAAAAAACGCCTGATTTTCCATTTAAAAATGGGGGGGGGAAAAAAAATGTAAATTGCATTGTAGAAACTTCAAAAGAATTATTTTTGAAAGTCATACTTTAAAGTATAGGCAGTGTGTGATAAAGTAATGTGAAGATAATGAAAAGGTAATGCTGCTATTATGATTTTATTCATGGTGAAATAGTTTGTAATCTATAATAATTCTCGTGTGGATCTTTCTTGTCCGCATTGTTCTTTCTGCACGCTGTGATGGGTTCTCATTCACTACTTCCCTGCGTGCATGTACGCACCAAATGCACACAAAAGAACACATTCATTACAATTAAGGATTTTTGGATATATGGAGCTCATCTGGGATTATTATTATAGATAAGGCACTTCGTCCAGTGGTTGATGAAACAGTTTCCTGTCACTTCTTTAAAAACATTTAATACTTGGAAAATTTAAATTTACAAATGTTAATTTCTATGACAGTGTATAAAACAAAATCCACCACTTGCAAGTTATTAATATATTTCTTCTATCTACAGCAGTATTCCGAAATGTTCTTCTATGAAAGAGACTTAAGTTACAGAATATATGTTTTAATATGGTTGACTTTGTACCGCTCTTCGAGCCTTTGAGCATGAAGCGTGATTTTCAAATAAACTTTATTATTATTATTATTATTATTATTATTATTATTATATGCTTTCCATGTCATTTACTTTATTAAAAAAGAAATATCACCTTTTGCTTTGATATATTTTTTACATATTGTTTGAGGATTATAGAACCAAGTATGGCATCGCTTTACAATGCATTTCAATTGAGCTATGTTACCTGTTAAATTTTTTTTTGTTTTCATCAACACTTTTTTTTTTCCTTCATATGACTTTGAAAACATAGAGTCTCTGATGTTCACAAGCTGAGTTAGAATCTCTAATATCATATTTGTTCAAAACTGAGGTTCTGAAATTGAACCTTCAATTCAAATTATTTTTATCTTTATTATCCGTTTTCTTCCAGTATTGTAAAACTTTATATTGAAATAGTTAATAAGTTGTGACGATTACTATACATGTTCAAATTTAAGCACATGGGTGTAATTGGTCTGGCAAGGACTTGAAGATACAATTTAGATATCATGTCTTTTATGCTCAGAATGTCAAAGGCTTAGAGCCTTTTTTTTTTAGCCAAAATTTTTCACTAGAGAACTGAGTCACATGAAATCTTGTCTTATCTTGTTCACCTCCAATTAAATTAATTTAGTAATTTCACCAAATTATACCAAATGGATATTTTACTTTTTGAACTTTAAATATAAAAGATAACTCAATGTAACTCTTAAAAAATGTGCAGCAAATTATTCTGAGAAGAAATTCTTAGCAAGAAATTAGCAATGCTCCAAAAATAACTAAATATATTTTTATCAATTATACTTCTTACTTTTTTGTGCCGTTTTTGTTTTGTTATTGTCGCATTTGAAAGAAACAACACAACAGATGTTGCATAAAACTCACACTGGTTGGCTGTCGGTTTAAACGCGTTTAAATGATTTTAAGATTTGTGATGCTTTCAGGAAGACTGATTTATTTTAGCTGTAGTTTACATCTAGTTTGGATTTTTTTCTCATAGTTGGTTTTTTTATTACATCCAGAATAAGTCTGTGTAAAATTAATTGTGTCAACAAGGACCATGCATTCTATATTATATTGTGTGCACCTTGACCTTCCCAGGACATGGCTGAAGCCCAGCTGGACCCGGATGTAAATGAACTGAGGTCTATCAGGCGGTCAGTTTTGGGTAGGTCGGTGGTAGACAGAACTGATGGTCCGAGGCGGTCGGTGTCCAAGGTGCCGATTCTGATGTATACAACAGGTGGGTGATGGGCGCTGTGGTGATCTGACTTATGACTTATTAGAGAGGAGTGTCTCTCGTATGAGATCTCCTCTTGGCACTCTGTCTAGGGATATGTTATATAAGCCGAATAACCACACGGACATAACACCTATCTATATACATATAGTATAGACTGAAACGAAGTCCTAGTTAAAGGTGAAATTAACTACAAATATTTATTACACAATAATATTTACAACTTCCTACGTGAAACACTCGTGGTGCTCAATGTATATACATCAAACGGATTTCATCCAATTAGAAAGGTATATTAACACAAAGCAAGTGTCCCTAACATACAGACGGTATCATCATTACTACTGCTATATTGCTCAAGTTCTATGCTCGTTCTTGGTAAACTTAGCCTTTATAGATTCTGTGATGGTCTCGGTGGATCACACAGTGTGGGAGTCCTTCTGTTCCAGAAGCGTGTCCCTGTTCCGGCCTTCGGTGCTGTTCTGAGCGTAGCGAAGTCGGAGTTCCCGGTCGTAGAGTCCTTGGGATGTCTGCGAGGGGAAGATGACTCTCCCGCGATAAATCGTGGTGGTGAGAGTCCCTGGATCTCGAAGTCCTAGCTGTCAGGTAGTTTGGTGTAGGATGTAGATCAATCCCCTAGTTCCAGCTCAAGGTAAGTCGGTCCAGTAGTAGAAACCAGGCTAAAGGCAAAATGATACAAAATTGGATAAGTATCCAGGCGAATATCCATAAGCTGATAAGTCCCGTTCCAACAGCAACGAATTCAGATCGATGTATGGAAGGTGACATAGCTAGTGCATATATATCCAAATGGTGGATGTGATTATAAGTCTTGTCATTGTCGGCGGGAGCATATGTTGCATCGCGACAATGTTAGACCACTCAAACATTTTAATTAATGAAATATGGGACATGGTATCAATAACAATCATTATATCTACAGGTACATAGTGTCCGTATTGTCATCTCGTTAAAAGAGACATGGGCGAGTTGGAACAACAACCTACCATCCCCATGATGGGATGGCGGCATGTCGAAGCCCACAGCAAAAACAATAATATAATCCATAATATCAATATAAAGTGAATATAGGCATTATTGGAATAGGGTCAACCACGATCGAATATTTGCGACATAGCGAATGAACAATACAAGTGCAATACCAAAATCATGGTTGCGTACTTACTAGTACTCTAGGTAGCAGTTGAAGTTAAGTATCACGCCAGTGAAGTGCTAAGTCTAGTCACTTCAAGCGTCCACAATCAAGTGATCAGATCTTAAAGTCATATACTTGCTAATATCCTAGGATGCAGTTATGTATCATGCTGACGAAGTTCTGAGTGCAGATCCTTCCAGCATTCACCGTCAGGTGATCAGATCATAAAAGGCAGAATCTTGCTTGTTCAGGCTATTTATTCGAGTTCGATGACGATTAGCTGATGGTTCAATTGGGTGATTCACATGAGGGGTCAATTTTCCATCCAATGAAAATCACTTTCACTGTTGCGGGTTTGACCTTCAACCCTCAAGGTTAATCGGACTGAGGTGACCATCCTTTTTCAGGCTTTGGCGTGAGTTCTCTGTCTAGACAATGCAATTCCAGCAAGGGACGATACTCCGCCTTGCTGTCTACAGGGCAAAAATGAGGGGGGGAATGGTATTATTTCCTCAAGGTTGTTCGGTGGGATGGTTGACTGCAAATAGCATGTTGGGGGGGTGAGCGAACTGGTGCAGGAATGTGATATCACAAGGGAACTCACTCGTGCTGAGCGGCGGCGGGGCATCTTGAGGGAAGGGAAAGGAGTTATTATACAATGGTTTCCAAGGGCGGATTTACGATATAAGAAATTTTACAAAGTCCAGCCTCAGATCGTCACAGGCGCAATGTTCGTTGCTTAAACTACGACAGTGAATAAGATGCATGAAAATGAAAGCATTTGTTAAGATTTTTTTTTTTTTTCAAATTTAAAGGTTGACCTCCTGTTATTCTTCATTGCAGGGGATGAACCTTTTTACTCAGCTTCAGATTATTCAGATGAAGATCTGGATCAGTTGTCAGAGTGAGTCATAAAACTATGGTTACCTTTATGTAACTAAATATGAGAGGATTGGACTCTGATAATGCTTTTAAATAGATTACTGAGACACAAACAATTACATATACATTGAAAAGGAAGGAAAAGAAAACAAAGATCAGAAGGACTTTTATTTTGTGGTCTGCTAAGAACTGAAAATAAAAAATATTACACTGCTGATAAGTTAGATGTCAAACGTCTGCCATTGGCTCTTTTCTCACGAGGGCGTCTATCAACTGAATATTTCATGTGCACATGATTTTTCCAAGGTGTTTTTCTGCCTCTAAAATATCACAGAAGTAGATCTAGATTTATAATTGAGAATCATGACAAAAGTAGTCCTAGAACTACAATTGAGAATCATCGCAGAAGTAGTTCTAGAACTACAATTGAGAATCAGCTTCTGATCTCAGCTCAGTGAAACAGATTTATGAACTTTTCAAAACTGAGAGTCAACTTCAAAAAAAATAATGATACAATAACTTCTCAGCAAATGGATTTTTTGTTGCATTAAAGGAAAATAACACAGACAGTTCATTCTATGAGAACTAATTATAATTATTTTTTGTTATGTTCTTAAACAGGTTATTAGTTATTTAATTAAATTGTAAAATTGTGTGGATATTATAATGTAGCACAGCTGTGTTGTCTATGAATCAGTGCATGCCAATACCTACTGTATAAATAGCCAAACACTCATTGCCTGTCTTAATCTTTTTTTTACAGCATGTTGATTATTAAACCAGTTGATGACAATGCATCAGTGGCCAACACCATCAAAATGTTGATGAGAATGTCCCTGGGGGAGCTGGTCCTGAATCTCTCCAAGGTCAGTCAAGACTTTTTGTGTAAACATGACGACTCATCAATAGATGTGACATGGAATGAGCACATAATAAGCAGCCTTATGTTGCTGCCAAATAACATTTTAAGTCGCTTTATGGATATTTTGTTCCTTAGCCCATGTTGTGAACATTTAGATAACTTTTTTAAAACTTGAAAATTTAAATCTTTTTCACTATTATGACCTTTGAACCCACACTTTAAATTTTGTTTTAAATAAATTTTATATAATTTCTTTGAGTTTTCTTCTTTTATTTTCCCTTCTCTTTTTCTTTCCCCCATTAGGAGATGGACAAAGAAGAAAAGGCTTACCTTATGTTCAGGATCGACAGGCTGCGTATAGACTCGGCAATCACTGTACATGGGTACGCAGCTTATGCCACCCTAGGGGGTGTCCAGCTGGTGGACAAGATACATGTTGGTATGTGAACCAAACCTTTGAACGTGAAGACCCTATCAGAAAATTAGACGTCATGTCATGCTCACATGAGTGAAATAGAGGGAACAACTTGAGAGTTTAGTAATCTTTAACTTTTTGCTTGACCAGATTTGTGTTTCTTTCCTTTTCAAATCCAAATGCTTCACCTAATTAAAAAGCCCCCCCAAAAATATTGGCATTCTTAAAAATTTTTTTTTTTTATTTCTCATCTGTGAGTTGTAACAATAACCAACCTTTATTTGGCTTTTACTTCAGGCCATGCGGGCGAGTACATGGAAGTACTGAGTACAAACACAATCAACAACAACAACTTGGTCTCTATCATGTACAGACATGTGAGTTGTCACTTAATTTTGGCTCATAATTATGGTTATATTTTGGAATGTAAAAAAAAAAAAGGTCTGATTGGCTGATCCAGTTCACTAAGCAGACTCTGGACATGACTACATTTTCATGTCATGGTTTAAGAGAGGAAAAGAAAATGCGGAATGAGAGAAAGAGTTGGAATAATTTACACAGGGAAACTGAACCGTCAGTTCTAAATTAATTGTCACACAAGTTGTCACACAGGTTGTCACACATGTTGTCACACAGGTTGTCAGTAAGTGAGATACTTTAATGTAGTGTTAGTTTTTTGTTGTTTTTTTTTGTTTACCCCAGGTGGAGCCGGTGTGTCCAGACTTTGCCACCTACTACGGTGGAGTGGAGCATGCCATCAAGGTAAAGGTTCTGTCCATGGCAACATTGTTTGATCAGGCCAGCATGATGTACCTGAACGCATTCCTGCAGAGTATCCTTTCAAGGTAAGGCGAGGGTACCATGTCAAGGTAAATCAAAAGCCATAATGTCAGTTTAAGTCAAACTCTATGTCAAGGCAAGTCAAAGATTTATCTCAATATTTATCAAAATATGTCAGATTCCTCCTCGTGACTGCCTCCATTGACAGTATATTTTACCGCTTCTTGTTTATTGACAGTGTCCATAACCTGGAGATGAGGACCAGCAGCAGTTCTGTCATGACGACGTCAGATGTCAGCACCAAAGACAAAGTTTCCATCACCGAACGTATTGTCAACATCACTGACCAAGGTCAGCTTTGATATGAGTCACAGATAGGTTAACTAGAGCTTTGATATAAGTCACATATAAGTTAACTAGAGCTTTGATATTAGTCACAAATAAGTTAACGGGTTAACTACCATGAGCCGCTGGGAGCGGCTCAGCGTTCGTTTTGTTATGGCCACGAGGTGCTGGTAGCGCCAATGTTAGTATCGTAGTACATCGAGTCAAATATTTATATTATTCCATTCCCGTTTCGCTTCGAGATTTTAATTTACCAACCGGATGTTTATATTCGAAACGCATGCTATCAGCAGGATTGTTTTAAAAAAACGAAAAGTTAATTAGTTTTGATTTTATTTCCTAGCTAGTTACAAAATAGTACACGTTTACCGCAGCAACAAGTTACCGGGTTACTGAAGGCAAATAAGTGATTGGAAGTGTAAATACTTTTCAATTTCTGTGTTCTTTTGTTTATTATTGGATATACTATATGGAAACAACCAAATGAAAGGCTTTAAATGATTTGGAAATTTATATTATTTATAATATATAGGTAAGTTAGCACATCAATATATTTTTATTGTTTTTCTATTGAAAATACTAATTTAACAATTAATAATTTCCTAACAAAACTTAACTTTACAAATGTTTTAAATTTATATTATAGAACATTCAATTACCTACAAAAATTTTTTATTAATCATTAGAATATGTTTATAATTAAGGAAACTGCAGCTGAATTTGTACATACACCTAAAATGAAAAAAATGTGACCTAGATTTAATTCGGCCACAGCCGGTTTTGTTTCAATCTCGTAGTTAATCAGTTAACTAGAGCTTTGATATTAGTCCCAATATAAGATAACTACCGTATTTTCCGGCGTATAAGATGACTTTTTAACCCATGAAAATCTTTTCAGAAGTTGGGGGGTCATCTTACACGCAGGGGGTCATCTTATACGCAGGGGGTCGTCTTATAAGCTGGTATAAGGCGTGCTGAAGTTTGAGGGACAGGCGCCCTCTCGTTCAAGTATGGTTGACAGCTTAGGAAACAAATAGCATGGCAGCTCCCATGGGTTCATTGTCTTATCCTTCCTTTCTGATTTAAAAAAATATATATATTTTGGTGTGCGTTGGAAGAGGGGTAGTCTTATTAGGCGAGTATGGGCCAAACTCTATATTTTAACAGAAAAAGTAGGGGGGTCATCTTATACGCCGGAAAATACGGTAGAGCTTTGATATTAGTCACATAAAAGTTAACAAGAGTTTTGGTATTAGTCACAAATAAATTATCAAGAGCTTTGATATGAGTCACATATAGGTTAGAGCTTTAATATTACTCCCAATATAAGTTAACTAAAGATTTGATATTAGTCACAAATAAGTTTACTAGAGCTTTGATATTAGTCCCAACACCAGTTAACTAGAGCTTTGATATTAGTCCCCATGTAAGTTAACTAGAGCTTTGATATTAGTCCCCATGTAAGTTAACTAGAGCTTTGATATTAGTCCCCATGTAAGTTAACTAGAGCTTTGATATTAGTCCCAACACCAGTTAACTAGAGCTTTGATATTAGTCCCCATGTAAGTTAACTAGAGCTTTGATATTAGTCCCCATGTAAGTTAACTAGAGCTTTGATATTAGTCCCCATGTAAGTTAACTAGAGCTTTGATATTAGTCCCCATGTAAGTTAACTAGAGCTTTGATATTAGCAACATATAAGTTAATTGAGCTCAGAAATAAGATTTACTGCATCAAAAGTATACTCAGACCGTCTTCTTCTTTTTTTTTAACTCTGTGTCACAACTTATATATCTGTGTGTCAGATGGTTCTGTATATATTTTTAGTTGCTGCATAAAAAGTGTATGTGGACTGTTGGTAGCAACTTGAGTTTCATCTCAACACAATAGTTTGTTGGTTCTATTTTAACAATGTCTAAAACCTTTGTTATAAAACTGAAATTTCTCTCCCTGTGTTATAAAACTGAAATTTCTCTCCCTGTGTTATAAAACTGAAAGTTCTCTCCCTGTGTTATAAAGCTGACACTTCTCGCCCTGTGTTATAAAGCTGACAGTTCCCTCCATGTGTTATAAAGCTGACATTTCACTCCTTGTGTCTGAAACATAAACTGTGAGTTACCTATCAATGCTCAGACTTGAGTTATTTATTTCCTGCTTAGCTTTCTCGTAAAATATCACTCACCTCTGTTATGTTTCAGTGGATGGCTTGCCAGGTAACAGCACCAAAGTTCATCTGATAGCCGAGCTCCAAGATTTCACCATAAAGCTAACAGACTCGGACAACAGCCTGGCAGAAGTTAAAGTGAAAGGTGTGATTTCAAACAGACTAAGTCATGTTATTTTTAATCCATTTTTTAAAATAAATTGTGTTAAATATAACTCAATATCAATCTCTTATCAGTAAATGACTCTTAAATTTTTGTTCCCATCATAATTTTTAAAAAGAACTTCTGCTCTTAATTGTATCAAACCTTTTGCATGACCTTTGTCCCCTCCAGGTTTTGAAGGAAGTGTCATTGCTAAACCTGCTAAGACAATCATAAGGTCTCGTCTGAAAGACCTCAGTATCAGGGACTGTAGTGCTGGGGCTATCTATCAAAATGTAAGACAGTTTCAACCAAACCATGAACTTTAAATTTTAAATTATTTTTTTTTGAGTAATTTTACAAAAAATATTTCGATTGCAATAATTTATCTTCTTTTAAAAAAAAAGTTTTATCAAATAAAAGATATTTTTTCATAATGTGTGTCTTAGTAGATCCAATTGATTTAAATTTATATTTTGTGTGGCCATAATTAAATCTTAACATATATTTTTTTTATTTGTACATAAATTATATCTCATTCATTTTTGTATCAGTGAATGATAAATACCCTGCCATGAATCTATTAAGGGTCGTTTTTGAAGGACATCACTAAGGGTGTTGGGGGGGGGGTTGCAAAGTGCATGTGTGCGCAAGGGGGTTCTCTCAAGATCAGACAAAGGGTACAAGGGAGAGGGCGGTGTAATGGATCCTGCCGATGTCCGCAAGCTTGCATGTTTTTTTTTGTGTTAGATGCAGCTTTGAGCCCACTCCGTGTATTGCACAAAGAAGTTCATAGCAACTTCATTAGCTATTTATCAGCAAATGTAAAGAATGGAAGTATTGAATTTTTAAATATTTTCTCTAATTCTCATGTTTGTTTGATTTCAATAGAAATTTTTATATTATCAGGCTTATTTAGAAGTTTACTTCTAGTGACTCATTGCTCTTTAAAACCTTTATTATACTTCCTCGAATTCCACACAAAATAATGTGGCTTTCAGATGTCCGCAACCCAGGGGTGGGGGAGGTAAGCCACATCCGGACAAGTGTGAACGACGGGCGGGGGGTGGGAGGGGAGGGTGGAAAAGAAGCGTATTTTTTGCGGACGTCCTTTATGAACAACCCCTTAATGGTATTTTGGATGTCTTTAATAAATAAATATTTGTTACTTCTTACATATCCAGATTCTGCTGCTGCAAGATGACAGTCTGTTTGACCTTAAGGTAAATCTTAGTATCCTCTTGTAGATGAAGGAAAAGCCACCGCTGGGAATGTTTTAGTCACACGATTTTGCTTAGTAGCTGGCTGCATTTTGTTTATTTAAAATATATCACTTTGATCAGATCGATTCCTCTCAGTGTAAACTGTTAGTTAAAAGTAGCTAAGAATGAATGAAGATGAACATTGAATACCAAAAATATATTTTCTGTTGATTTTTAGAGCATCATATGACAGTGGAAAAAGAAATAGAATCATTTTATTTTTACCTACTGTATCACATGCTCTAAAGCTTTTCTCCATTTCAAACATCCCGACCGACCCCAGCTGGTCAAGTACAATAAATCATCGTCTGCCCATCTGGACAACCGAGAAACTGGCCACGGCTTGGACTACAGCGTAAGACTCTGGCTGGGTCAGATACAAGCGGCGGTGCTCGGAAAATTTTACTGGGAGATAACAGTAGGTCATTTACATGATGAAGGTTAATTAGATAACTTCAGTCATTATGAAAACGGAAGTCTTTTTACATGGCAAATGCTCTGTAGGCAGAATTTTATTTATATAATTTAGATGAAAGCAGTCATATTAGGTAACAGATCTAATTTAGATTATGAAAGGAGTGAGTGAAAAACTTCATTAGACTCAAGTATTTGTAAATCCACAATCCAGTTGGGATGGGTAAGAGATGCCAGACTTCAGTAATGACTCAGAGATTATACAGTAAAATATTAAAATAGCCACATCCAACCTCTCCTTTAAAAAAAAATAAAAAAATGTGCCATTATTTACTTCATCTAATTTTCTTTCCTCTTTCTAAAATATCAAATTTGTTTTACATAGATGCTTACTGCGTATGAATTTATAACAACTTCAGTTACTCCGTTCGATCCTGATAAATGCAAGGATCACAGTTTGTTCAATCCAAATTTCTTGTGTCTTCTTGTCAGAGATTCTTTGAACCTTTCATAAATCAAGAGATGACAGAGGCAGCCAGACAAACAGCTATGGATACCGTCACCAAACAGGTCAGTCGTGCTTACAATGCTAGAACCGCTGGTGCTCAGAGACTTGTAGTTTTATCAGGTTCCAGTCTTGGTCATGACCAGGAGGAGAACTCAGTTGTCTTTAGAGGGTGTTTGTTACTTGGGAGGGTGTTTGTTACTTGGGAGGGTGTTTGTTACTTGTGAGGGTGTTTGTTACTTGGGAGGTGTTTGTTACTTAAAAAGTTATTTACTGTTATACTGAGTGTTACAAAGATTATAACCTATGGTGTATTGATAAATATAATAAAATATTAGTTAATCTGTTGGTTAATCACACCAATTGGTCTTTTACATCAATATTTAAACCAGGGACATGCTGGCACATGGAAACCCGTGACGAACGGTGTAGTAAGAAAGGACGGAGGCCCCCCCCCCCCTCGCACACTGGAGATTGTAATAACGGCCCAAAAAGGCCCATGACGAATGCTCATTCGTCTCGTCCCGTCGTCGTGAGCCAGCACGTCCCTGATTTAAAGTAAACAGTTCTAAAGCCCAGAGAAACCTACTACACTAAATATATACTAAGAAAGAATTATCCTGGAGATTACTTTAATGGCTATGGGATTTGTTCAAGGGGAGGACTTATCTATATTATACAATGTAAATATAATTTAAGCCCTCAAGAAGTGTGTGGGGGAAAAGGGGGGGGGGGGCTGATAAAAAATTTTTTTTTTTAAAGTCACTTTTCTGGATTCAAAATAGCTGTTAATAGACATGTTGACAACAAGCTATCATTTTGGGATATTTGTTTCTTAGTTTGTGTTCCAGACATTTAAAATAAGCCAGAAAGCCTGTATAAACACAAATATTACACATTTGTAGCAAGGGTGATTGTAAAACATAATAATCATTTCCAGTTTTTTAGATTCAACTCTGCATTAACTTTTTTTTTTTCAATGCATAATTTCTTTTAGTTAAATAAAGAAATCCAAGTGTAAAAAATGAAGGATTAGTTAATTTTTTAAATTTATTTTATGAAAGAAATTGTGTGTTTTTTTTTTTGTTTTTTTTAATTTTTTGTTGAACCATAAAAGTACAATAAACCATGTTAGCATGTTGTCTCTTTACAATGGATAATGCTGAACTTAAAAAATGTTGCCAATTTTTGTGCAGAACTTTCTCCCCTGTACACATCCAGTAGGTAACACCCTCTTAGTGTGCTGAAATCTAGATTCACCGTTTTGTTTATTTTATTGAACTCTCCCCCAGGAGTGCTTTGACATGTTCTCTTCCATTTTTTTTTTTTTGTTTTTTGAAAACCGTTTTTGCTGTTCCTTTTGTTTGAAGCCCAACTGAGACTGCCTTGAAAAATAATCAATATCATGACTGAGTGAAACTAAAAAAAAAAAATTTAAATAAGGAATAAGTAAAAATGCAATAAATCAGTGCTCCTCAAGCTGTTTCAGTGTGATTGCTCAGGCATTAATTTGTCCACATTGGACAGTTGCATAATTTAATGATTATTTTTTTGTTTTAAAAGTTACATTTTTTCACCTTTGGTGACTTGGCGGCTTGAGCGTTTGCTGACCACTTTTTTGTTTAGAAGCACTACTTTAGATGCTGTGTTTTGAAGTAGATTAGTTCTGTTGGAAGATGCAAAATCTGTCCAAGTGTTAGAATAGTTCTTTATTTAAAACTTTGAAGTTTTAGAATTTGCTGAGCATAAACCCAACAGAAAATTTAGCCTGGTGAATTAAATCTTCTGCTCTGTTTGCGATAAGTAGCAATGGCCTGTGACCTAAATAATGTTGCCCGGCATGTTAATGGGGACTGCTTTCACTGTCCAAAGTTATAATACTCGCAGAGATTTCTCAAATAATGTTGCCTAGCATGTAGATGGGACTGCTTTCACTGTCCAAAGTTATAATACTCGCAAAGATTTCTCAAATAATGTTGCCTGGCATGTAGATGGGACTGCTTTTACTTTCCATAGTTATAATACTCACAAAAGATCTCTAACTTACACATTTGGTCCTGAATGCTGACACTACATGATCCCTTGGTCACACTACATGATCCCTTGGTCACACTACTTGATCCCTTGGTCACACTACATGATCCCTTTGTCCCAACTTCAATAAGACTCTCCTGTTTCTTGAAACCTTCTTTTATTTTTTCCTTTTAAATTTCCAACGCATTCTGAAATCACTGTGTAATTTAAATGATGAGAGATGAGTTCATGTACTTTCACGAATCCATTTCCACCTCTTCTTTACTGGCTTGCACCCCAGACATCATAATTAGTGTTATTACATTCAGCTCTGGCGTAGGTCTATAAAATTCATACTAAATAGCCTGTAGCAAATAATTCTAAACCAGAGGCTTTTGATGATGCATGAGTTCTTTTTGGATCTCTATTAAACTTAACTGGACTCTTTCAAGTCTTTTTATCGAAATTTGTTTCATTTTTAGGCATTAATGGCTTGTGATAGCATGATTGAAAAGTAGGCCATCCTGATAAATCCTTCAAATACACAGAAAATTGTTTTAAAAAAAAAATTTAATACTATATTAACAGGAATGCATACTTAAATGGTAAATAGGTCATTATTCCATGCAAACTCATTCAGTATCATTTCAAGTGCATGACAGCTGCTAGTGAGAAATATTTTTGTTGCTTTTAACATAAGAAGACAGGAGAAGCTATATCTGTTGTCATGGTCGTGTTTATGAAATCAAGAGAAACTTCTCTTTCGATTTGTATCTGAATTTGGTGTGTAGAGCTATTCAAATATTTCTTCCCCTAAAAAAAAAAAAAAAAAAAAACAAAAAAAAAAA